CATTTTGAAAATGTATTTTGAAACAAATAATAATGAATAAAGAGCAGAAATCGTTCGTGTCCATAGAAAATAGTGATGTCATTATTTTAAATATTCAAATGTGGTCAAATATAAACCAGGAGATCATAACAGAATACAACCAAGAACAACATCTAAATCCCTAAAATCCTGATGTCACAAGTGCATGAGCATCTTCCAGAATATACAATACTACTACAATATTTGTCCGAAACATAAAAATAGACATGATATAGTAAATGAATAAGACGGGGACTCCGTATACTGCTGATCGTAATATGGAGCGCAGCTCACCATAAAGTCTCCTCAGTAGCTGTGCCTATATGCCAAGATGATTACCAAATGTACCTGTCTCAATACTTGCACAATTAGTGCAGAAGTTTAGTATGAGTACGTAACTCAACATGTACCCAGTAAATATCTAGCCTAACATCGAAGAAGTAGTGACGAGGGTTCGACATCAACACTTACTAGTGGTCCAATAAATCAAGTACAATAAAAGCAAACAGGTTTGAAGCATGGAAAGTTAAAAAAACGGTAAAAATAGATATATGTACATAACATGATCCTCAACAGAAGAGTAAACACAAAATCGTCGAATATCGAATACTACCACGGATAGAATACATGTCAGGTCAATAACCCCTAAAATATCATGTCTCAAGTCAGATGGGTTCATAGACACACTGACTCGTTATCAAATATTACGCACGATTCTGCCGAGGCGAGCGGTCCGATCCCATTAGAGTGAAGGTATAATACCCTGTTGTGGCGTACGACTCGATCCCATAAGAATAATGTACACTGCGAGGTCGTACGGCCTGATCCATAGATGCATCTCATAATATTGCCAAAGTGAATCGCTCGATCCCATAGTAGTAGTGTTGAGGCGTTCAGCCCTATCCCATAAGAATATGAAACTTTGACGGATCACTGGTCCCACTCACGAATACTTGTGTGAGTTGTGAAACTCAAGAAACTTTCGGACTTTCGTGTAACACAGGAGGAATCCGCAAAGGAAGTATAATTTTCACAATTAATCAAATAGCTCGTCAAGTATCTAAAACAGCAAGTTCAATACCTTACTCAAGTCCAATCTCAGGCTACATTATAAGTTAAGCATTTAATCAGGCAAGAACTCAAATTAGTATAATTAAAATATGGTGTGAGTCCAAATCTACCAGGACATAATCAGGAATTCTAACATACGCATGGACACTCGTCACCTTATACGTACGTAGCTCCCATAAGATGTAGCACATAAGAAATATAGTACCTACAGGGTAAATTCTTCCTGAAGGTTAGATGAAAGACTTACCTCGCTCCGAAATCCTATAACGGCTCCAACGCCTCTCTAACGCCACAAACCAATACCAAATGGTCCGAAACTAGTCAAAGAAAGTGCAAACCAAACAAAATATACTCAAAGACTCATAATCTAATCAATTAGAAATAATTCCCAACTCTACACGAAAAGTCAACAAAGTCAATCCCCGGGCCATGCTCCTGAATTCCAAAACTCGAAGATAAATACTACCAATAATACCATGAACTCGAATATATAATTTAGTTCCAATTTCATGTCCAATTTCATGGTTAAAACTCGAAAATATCATTTCTAGATTTTATTCCGAAAATTCCACATTTTCCACCTCAAATCTTGAATTTATAAGTCCATTCATACATATTCATGAAAAGTGGGTTAGAAACACTTACCCTCAATAGGTGGGTGAAATGGCCCTTCAAAATCACCCCCAAAATCGGCTCCAATTGATCCCAAATAATAAATAAGAAGAAATCCTGAAATTCCAACTTATAAGTTTATCCCAGACGTTACTCTTCGCGAACGTGGCATGTGCCTTGTGTTCGCGAAGTACAACTCAGCTCCTGCTCCAAAATTCTCATCGCGGTCGTGAGACTAGGCTCGCGAACGCAATGTCTTACCAGGTCGACCCTACGCAAACATGACCCGGCTATCGCGAAAGCAGAGCACCACTGCCCAAACCTTTGCGGACGCGATTCCCCAATCGTGAATACGAAGCACAAACGACCTCATGCTCAAATCCTTCATCGTGAATACGTGATTCCCACCGTGTTCGCGAAGAACAAAACCAACACCAGCAAAACTCACCAACTTGGTTCGACACCACCGCGAAATACACCTGAAGTCCCCGGGACCCCGTCCAATCATACCAACCAGTCCTATACCTCATCAAAACTTATCCAAAGGCTCGAGATGCCACGAATAACATCAAATCACGAATCACCGATCAAAATCCTTCTTTTAACTTTCAATCCTTCAAATTTCGTCGAACGCATCTGAATAACACTTAGACATTCCGGATCATGACCAAACTTAACACACAAGTTTCAATTAACTAAGTGAACCTATCCACGGTCCCGGAACACTGTCTGAAGCCCGATAACACCAAAGTCCACTCTAAGTCAAACTTAGCTAATTCAAAACCTTCAAAATGAAAACTTCTGATAATAAGCGCCGAATCACTCTAGGACCACTTGATACTCAACCTGAACATATGCCCAAGTCCGAAAGCACCTTATGAACCTATAGAAACCTTCAAATTCTGATTCTGAGGTTGTTTACTCAAAAGTCAAACCTTGGTCAACTCTTCCAACTTAAAGCTTCTAAATTGAGAATTATTCTTCCAAACCAACTTCGAACTTCTCAAAACTCAAAACCGACTACACGCATAGTCATAGTATATAAGGTGAAGCTACTCAAAGTCTCAAATCGCCAAACGATATGATAGAACCCATAACGACCGATCAGATAGTTACACAATGGAAGTTGTGCTGAGGTAAGTTACCAACATTGATAAAGCAAAACCTTATAAGAAAAAAAATATATTAATCAAGCTTTTGATTGAACCCTACTTCAATCAAGGGTTTTTCATAACCATCCATCATGGGCTTGATGAGCTTGAATTGTCCTCAGACTCAATTATTTCTCTTCCAGGCGCATTTTCGAGCTTATCTTTTTCGAATTATTTTGTTAGAGAAGTGTGAAGGTCATAGAAGGATTGAAATATTGTTGTCAGTAATATGAATATAAATCAACACTGAGGTTTCTTTGGCAAATACATAACCCATATGGAAAAATTATAAATATGGCATATGATGACTTAAATATGGCGTAATTTCTCTTTATTTGAGTTAACTAAATAGAACTGACATACATTATTATCAGGCACTTATACTATATTATATTTTATATTTTATAATTAAAATACATCATTTAATAATGTTTATGTAATTTTTAAAATTTTGTATTCACCAATATTAGGGTACACGCACTACGCGCGTACTACAATACTTGTACTATATTAAGTCCTTTTTCTCTCATAGTTTAACATGTTTATGAATTCCTTTTTCTTATTAAATTTTAACATTTTACATGTAAACATTTCGCCAACTTTCAATTTTTATTTTTTTTATTTTATGATTTGGCGTCCTTCAACCCCCCCCCCCCCCCCCCTCCCACGCCCTAATTTTAGGCATGAGACAAAATTTCGCCAATGTAGGCTGTAGCTATATAAATACAAGAGATATGCATACTATGTTATCTCGTTGCCATAAATAATTACTCATGAATTGTATCATTAAATTGGAGCCGTGGTATTCCAAATAACAAACGGCATGAACACGAAGCTCATATTTGTAAACTTTAAATCACAATCTTTGAATACTCCTTTCCTTTCTTTTTCCAGTAGGAATTACTTGTTTCAGTTATTTTTGTGTTTCCGGTTTTTTTTTTTTTTTTTTTTTGTGGTAATTAAAAAACTTTTATTACCATTGAAATTATACACACCTCACAAACAGAATAAAAACAAAATCTATGCACTGGACAGGAGCCCCAGTGCTAAAGAAACAACAATCTACTTTCCTCGCTACACATCGACCAACAAGTCACCCATAAGATGACTCATCTTGATCTTTTACTGTAACTTACTTTATTTTTTTATGTACAATTAATCACTCAAAGTTTTGTTTTAATAGTATTGATATTATTTAGCAATACAATGTGCTATATCACTCGGCATACACGTGCAACGTATGTACAGAGAGACTAATATACTAAATTTGAGCCGCCCCTGATGAAATATACCACCAATTGAAGAGAAGTGTTCTATATGGTGATGCATGAACTATGGCTGTCTTCCATCTCTTTGTGCCACAGTATTATTTTTCCTGTTTTTTTTAGTGAAATTAAATTGCTTATCGACTTGATTTCACCATTTCTACTTGCTAGTCCTTGGTTCACACTGTATATTAAGCGCCGACGAGCACAAAACTGACGCCAAAGCGTCCCACAAAAATGCACAATAATGAGAAATCCTGAGCTGTTATAGTATAATCAACAGCTTTCCAAAGAGGCGGAACTATAATTTAAAACTTATGTCTTCGAAATTCTAGCCGTTTTAGGTTAATAAATATTACCCCTAAATAAATTTTTTAAGACATACAAATTTGAACCAAAATTATTAGGTTCGACCGAACATACACGTTTTACTCTTGCCCCGCCCCTGCTTTTCCATAAGCCAACTACAGTTTAATCGTGCATTATTAATAGAAGAATTAATCCCAGTAAGAGTGGAATAGCTCATACGTCACATGGGTGGATTTTGGATTATGCAAGTGTTTTCCCACCACCTTTTAATTTTCTACTTGGTAGAAATCTCTAGTTTTACTTTGGGACTAGCAGAGTGTTTAGAATAAGCTTTTTCACCTTGTCTTTTCCCTTTTAAAGTTCTGTTCCTTTCTTTTTAGCAGTCCGATATAACGTGGTACTAGATCCAATATTAGTATTAGAGGAACATCAACATTCCATAACTCATACACGTTTGGGCCTATTTGTTTTAGGTTATGCAATATGAAAATTAATTTTTTATAGAAGAATATTAGTAACTGTGATTAATGAAACTGATTATAATAAAAATTATTAAATTAGGTGAAATAATCCAAACTAAGCAACCCTTCTTTTTAGCAATTCTTCGTCTTTCTTTCCCTTATATCTTTTCTGAAGTCTAACAATAAGAGAAAGAGGCCAGAAGAAAAACTAAATTCGAGAAATTCTACGACATGTATCAACCAAAGTATATACTAATATACAAATATCCCCTAACTCCCAAGTCCTAACTCCTAACTCCTAACTCCTAACATACACAAGTGAGGTCTTGGTTATATTGACAGACGCTTTACAAATTTTAAGGTAACAGTAATATTATTCGGAATCTTCATGCTCTGTGTCAACTTGGAACCATGTATGTCATGTCCCAGGCCAGTCAGCACCCATATGTGAATCAATTCCAATCTGTAGTACAAACAGATGATGCTCAAATTCATTGAAGAATAGTACTTGAAAATGAATAGTAACAAAATATAACATTGCACGTCTCCACCACGATCCCAAGTAAAAGAAAGATCTTGCATGAAAATAGGGCAGACCTGTTCATCAAAGCTTGCAGGAATCTCAAATTCAGTACCAGAAGCATTTGCAAGTTCGTCGAGATTATCCTGCTGAACCAAGAAGCTTGGTAAGTGAAGCTTTTCAAAGGTTCTGTTATAGATCTTGTCCATCGAAAAATAAATAACAGTCAACACTTCACGGAAACACTCCCTCTTAAAACAACCAAAAAACGTGCGAGACAGTCTAACCATTTATTTAGTGCCTAGGGGGGAAAACGAAGAGGTGCTTAAGAAACTCACTCGTGCCAGAGAACAGAGGATAAACTTAGCTAACCAATAAAATCAACCTCTTAACATCAAATTGGAAAAAGGAAAAGAATAAAACTGAAACATCCAAGATTTTCTGAAAGTTACCTCTTCATCAATGTCAGCCGAAGAACTTCCAATACCAACAGGAGAATTATCAACAAAGTTTTTAGAAGCTTCTTGCATATCCTATATTAAAGATATCACGAACCAATCAACATTGAATACACTGCTTGAAATCTATGCACGCGGAAGAAAACGTGAATTCTTTATCTTCCCCGCAAATCAAAGTCATCATACAAAGGGCAATAGGAGAGCGACCAAAGAAGGACACATTAGAAAATTATGCAAGGACCAAAGCATCCAAAACCTCGAGCCAGGCATTCTATACATTGATGAATTCTACTTCACAAATGTACCCAAAAGAAAAAACTATGATCTTCCAAATACAGACAAAAACAAAAAGGATATGTACATAATGTGACTAAGCTACAAAAACAGACAAAAACAATCACCGTAAATTAACTCGCTATCCACCCAAGAGTAGAATACAAAATTTGTAAGGCCCCTTATCTACCCTCATTAAATTTCCTAGATGGGAATCCTCATTCAGACAACTCAGGCCTTTTAGGGGCAGCAAGGGGGATCCCCGTGATGACAACATCACTTAAGCCGTTAAGTCAAGGATTAACATAATAGAACAAACAATTTCATAGCCATCAGTATAAACAAAAAAGACTTCAAATATGACAACCAGCCACAGTTACACACAAAAACGAGGAAGAGAGACATGCCAGTGGACAAACATTTTCAAATGCCCAAGTTTCCATTTCAGTTGAAACAACTACAAACTATAAAGCTGGGGTAAAAAATGATGGATGAATACATAAAGGAGTTTAAAGAAATTTGTGATAGTCTTATGACTATACATAAACAGTTGGATGAAGATAGAAAACTTATTGACTTTGTTAGGGGACTTGGAAGCAAGTATAAAATGCTTAGGACTGTGGCGTTGAGGAAACCACCTTACCTTTTAAATGTGTTTTCCAACTCATGAAGACTCTAACCACTGGACCTCAAAGGAATGGATGACAATAAACAGAAAAAGGGGAGGAACAGTCATCCATACGATTAACTCTGGGCAATAGGAGAGGGATAATCATCCTTGCAGTTAACTCTGGGCTTAGGCACTAGTAATTAATATAATTCCAAGAAAACTGCATGCTATATGCTGTTTCTCCGCTTGATACCAATATAATAATTATGTCTTGATACTACTTAATTAAAAGAATAATTACCTCTTGATACTGCTTCTGGTAAGAATTCTCAGGTGCAACGGTAGACAACTTGATATCAGGAGTTCTCTACATCACAAAGGAAAAATCAGCAGTACAATATTGAGCAACAGATTACAATCTAAAAAAACCTTGACAAATAAGAGGTAACAGTAGAGGCTTTTACGAGTTATATGTAAATATTGCTATATAAGAAATTTTTGGATCACATAAAAAAGCCTTAAGTTGGCAATTTATGAAAAGATTTCAGGCAGGAGGCTTTGCCTTGAGGGAAAAGAATAACTTAGTAATTAAGAGAAAGATTTCACGTAGGAGTCTTCATCTCAAGAAAGTTACACTACATGCTTGTTATTTAATTTCTTTTTTGTACCCCTTTTTTTTCGGGGGGGGGGGGGGGGGGGGTCGGGGGGCGGTCCTGTATTCTACTACTTATAGAGACAGCG